TATAAATTGCGTACCACCAATTATATATATAATTCCGGGAATTATATAGTGACGCAAATTATATACAACATATACATATACATATGGTATACCTATAGAAAAAAAAATAAAAAAGGTAGGACTCAACAAATTAACCCAAGAAACTTGTGACACTTGTGACAGTTGGTCAGAACGGTTTTTTACAAGCTCAAATTCTCAAGAACCTATCTTTCTACTAATTTTTTTACTTGAGACGAACTTGTGACAACTTGTGACACTTGATTGAACTATGTATTTTCTCCAAGCACCTCTGATTTTTGGGCCAGCTTCTCCAGTTTTTTCGGTGATAGTGAGCTTTAACATGGCATTTATCCGCATGCAGATTACATAAGCTATACTCAGAAGCAGTCGGTTTACCACATTCTAAACAGGGGACGCGTTGACGCCTTTTCCAGTGAATAGCACATCAGTTAGATATTAATATATATATTGTATAAAACAATGGCAAATACACAGTCTAGAATTGATTTATTGGAAGAACAGAATTCCAAGCTTGTAGCCAAGATTACTGAACTTAGGGAGAAGAATGCTGTACTCTTGGCTGAGAATATCGAGATTAAAGCTGATAATGTGAAGTTGAAGCAAGCTTTAGAAAAGTATGAGGCGAGATTCGTAAATCTGGAACAGAAAGATAAAGAAAAGACCAGTCTTATTGCCAAATTAGATGATGATATAAAGGAAATCAAACAATCTTCGTGTCAACCAATCTATACAAAACCTAAATCATTGGAAGAAAAAGAGGTTGATAGATTCCTGGATTCAACGTATAGGGAAAGTGTTAGTAAAGTGATAATTCAGAGCATTAAAGTCGAGATCAAGAGTTGCTCTCAACTCCCGAGAGTACTATCCCTAATATTTCTCAGATTTCTACATTACCGAATAAGAATGTTTCCATATCCGAAGCAGAGAAATTACTACTTAATCGTAATAAAGATATAAATGTTCAGGATACAAAGCTTTCTTCTGAATCGTCTATTATTTCTTCTTCCACTCAGGCACAAATTGTCATCTCCCCTAAAATCCCTTATAATCAAAAAGTAGAACAGAGTTTAATAAGTGAGTTGTTTGAATTTATTAGAAGTAATAACTCCCTATCTTTACGAACTTCAAATTCTATATCTGGCAAACAAATTTTTGACATGTTTAAAAACAATATGACATATGTGGGTGATTTAACTATAGGTACCACGCCTTATCTAGCACATTTATTCAATAAGGCCGAAAAAACTAGTAGGAAAGAAAAATTACAATGGTATTATTATAGTGAAGAATACGAAAAAAAGGTCAAAACTATTGGTTTGGAAAACAATATTAGCGATCAAATGGCAAGAACACAAATTTACGATGAGATGATGCCATATCTACCTGGTATTAAGAGAGAGTATTTACGCAAGATGACCCAAAAGGCTAAGAACATTTATATATTGTTTAAAGGAATAGGTATAGAGAAAATCGGGTTAATCACATATAGTGCTGATACTATTTCTAGATTAACTGATTCACAAATCCAAAATATAATAAATCTTTATACCAACGAAATTGAATTTTCTTGGCATTTTTTGACGACGGGCCGTCGCTGAAATTTTTGATCATATGATCTTGATCATCGCGAATTTTGAAATGATCCTATTTGTCATATTTGTCACTGGACTTAGTGAAATCCTATTTGGCACATGAATCTTTGTTACGCGTCGCAATTATCATATCTGATATGTCAAAAGAAAAACTTATTCCTTACTCAGATTACTTCGACGAGTATACTGTTGATAGCTGGTCCTACTCAAGCTTTATCCGCTACGCTCTTAACAAAAGGTTGCTTCCGTTTGACCCTGTAAAAGTCTATAATTATAAGTACAAGAAGTGTCTGGATTTTATTGAACAAAATTACGATCCTTTGGAGCGTTCAAAGGCAATTTCACTAAAGGAATCGTTTAGGGTTAGTATATTTTGTGTGCAAATGAGTATAGTTTTGCTAACAACACAGCTTGGCTTTCAGCCAGGTCAATACTATACGGAGTGTCCTCGCGCCACTCTGGGTTTCCTTGGCGTGTTGCTACTACTGTGCTCTATTAAACAAGCATCGATACTATACGGGGTGTCCTCGCGCCACCCTGGGTTTCCTCGTCGCACGATCGATTGTTAATATGTGTATATATTTTTATTGGGACTATTAATTAATCTCGTCTTTATCTTGCTTTCGTTTATTTTTGAGCTTGACAAAAAAATGGAAGGAAAATGGTTAGCTAACCTTAATGAATTAGCAAAAAATGAAGAAACCGCAGAGGTGAGCCAGGAATACGACATTAACTTTCTGGTATTCTACTCTAATAATATGAATTATTTGCATAGCACGAATATCATGCATCGCTAAATAAAGATGTAAGGAAAGAGAAGATGATATACTCCAGCTACCTGTTAGAATCACAGAAATCCAAGCACCAAATCGACAGAGAGGAAGAAGCGACGTCAACCAAAAGGGTGAGTCCAGTTGATATAGTTTTGTAAATCAAATTAAATTGTACAGATAACCGACATATTTATATATGATGAAATCAAGCGAAAAGATCTAACAAATGTATCGCTTGAAGATGATGGCAAAAGTAATACTACCAACGTTGCGTATTCCGGAAAGAGTATGGATGATCTTCTTCGTGGCGACCAAGCACATTCAAAAAAACCTCTCATGGAATCAAATCAGAATGATAGTTTGCGTTCATCATTATCTGTTCCGTCTTCTAACATTAATTGCGAAGGTAATAATGATCTTAGGTTTTTGACATTTCCGAAGGATATAATGGACTAATTTATACGCACCACATAATATATGTATGTAGATGTCGAGCCTGAATATTACGATGTCAAGAAACGAACAAAAATTATTTATTCGTGGGAAGATGCAATTGACAAGATTGATTTTAGAAATACTTCAAAGAAGGATGTGAGTAAATAGTATGGTTGCATCTACTATACATTAACTAACTATACTTATGTCTTTTCAGTGGATTTTTGAAAGTTACAATCTTTCCAATGAGTTCCGTGATTTTCAAAAGATTACGATTCAACAGGTCAAGGAAAAACCGCATTTGTGCTACAAAAAAGACATTCAAAAAATTCTGTAAGTATTGCATTCCATCCGAATCATGGGTTTTTAGGGCTTTTCATATTAAGCCAATTATTTTCGTTATAAAATAGATGTCTATCGAATATAATGTTGATTGAGCGGATAAAACTGACATACTTACAGTAACGTGCAAAAGTATCCTACCGGTTGTATCATCTAAACGTACATAATAATAACTCCTTAAATTTTCCA